AATTGACACCAACGACAAAGAGTTGTAAATGGGCTTGCCAATGACACTTCCAGGCTATCAAATTCAAACAATTTTTTTCTTGTTTTTCCCATATTCTCATCTACTTAGTGCTACAATAGTTATCTCATCTCTGACATGTTTAAAAGAAAAAAAACACGCATCAAACTCCTGTTGTTACTCACTCGAAAACTCTCTTTTATCTTCACATCATGTCATTGTTGCATCTCAGTGATAAGATCAAAAAAATAATAATTAGTGAATTTATCAAGAAATATTGATAAAAAATATCATCTAAATAGACGTGAAAAGTTTATTTATCTTAAGGCGATTCACGCCTTTGTGAAAAGTAAATCAATCGTTACAGCAGCAGAGATACATAAAGCATGTCGCCCCCAAAATACTATAGTTTTATAATAATATTCTATAAATCTGCACTACCCATTGAGTCACCTTACTCAAAATACCTTTTTTTTACCCAAAAATATTTAGAAAATAAAGTGAGATAAGAAAAAATAGAGGAATATGTAGAAAACCCATTTTTGAGCAAAAGACATGTCTTATTTATAGGACTCATGATCTTATAACTCCTATTTGTAAGTTAACGGTAGGAATAAATTATACAATTATTATGAAATAATGTGCCCTTAAATAGGACAATTAATTTTTAATGATTAATTTGATCAAAGCCTTAATAAAATAATAAATTTAATTTATAAAATATATTATTTTATTTTTTATTAAAATATTTAAATTTCAACAACTCCTCCCTAAAAAATGTAATGCAAACTAATGCAATCAAATCAGGTGACTCATTTATCATTATCATCATTATATATATATATATATATATATATTGGAGATGTTATCTCTCACTTTTAGTGCATGCACATTGGATTTTGTACGCATCTGATCACCGACAAAGTGTGCTTTTTTTTTTTTTTTTCCAATTTGCATTGTGTTGAAGGGGTGGTGTGTCAATTACACCATTGGAGAGAACATGGAAGTAGGGAAAACTGACTTGATTCCAATTAAGCACATGATAC